CAAAGGGATCATGGACTGCATGGGGAAACTTTTGAAAAAACCACAACCTACAAACAGTATTCAGGCCCACCACAAAGTACAACAAATGTTACAGTCAGCAAAGGACAAAAGGGACCCCCTCAGCACTGCAGGAGTATACAGGATACCTTGCAGTTCTGGCTAGGTATACATTGGAACCACAAAACACAGCATCCACACCAGAATCAAAGAACACAAGAGACACTGCAGACTAAAACAACTGGAAAAATCAGCAGTAGCTGAACATGCCCCAAAACAAGCTGGACATGAAATTCTATTTCAAAATGCAGAAGTACTGGACAACACCAGCAATCATTATGTTAGACTGCACAGGGAAGCCATTGAAATTCAATTGTCCTCATTGCCCTCCTCTGAACTTGTGAGGAAAAACTGAAAGAACTGGGCATGTTTAGCCTTCAGAGAAGAAAACTAAAGGGAGATATGATAGTATTCTTCAAATATCTGAAAGGTAGTCCCACGGAGGAGAGGCAGGATCTGTTCTTGATCATCCCAGAGTGCAAGACACGTAATAAGAGGCTCAAGCGACAGGAAGCCAGATTTTGGCTGAATCTCAGAAAAACCCTCTTAACTGTTAGAATAGTACAACAATGGAACCAATGACCTTGGGAATCATTGGTTAGAGTAGTACAACAATGGAGCCAATGGAACCAATGACCTTGGGGTGGGGGTGAGCACTCCAACGCTGGAGGCATTCAAGAGAAAACTGGACAACCACCTGTCAGATATAGTTTGTTCTGGATTCCTTCAGTCAGGGGGTTGGACTCAATGGCCTTGTAGACCCCCTCCATCTCAATTATTCTATATTCTATCATTCAGGACAACTGGTCTTAAATGGCTGGTTTCATCTCTTCACTATGCAGAAATGAATCTTTTCTAATTCTACAGGGAAATCCTGCTGCCTGAATTTGGAACCTTTTGCAAAGCATGCTCCTTGATGGCCTCTTTCTCAAACTGCCTCTTCCACCACAAAATTGTCTTTGAAATATTCTGCATGAATAGCCATCAGATGGACCACCAAGTTGTGCAACCTATTTCCTAATCAGTTTGTGAACAAGCAGTTTGCGAATGAGTGTTCTCCAGAATGTCCTTTGCTCAACTGCCCTGCTCAGCTTTTGTAAACTCAGGCCTCTGGCTTCCTTTAGGGAATCAGTCCATCTCACATTTTGTCTTCCTCTTTTCCTGCTGCCTCCCACCTTTCCCAGTATCACTTCTTTTCCAGAGAATCCTGCCTTGTCATGATATCACCAAAGTAGGACAGCCTCAGTTTCAACTTTTTTGCCTCCAGAGATCGTTCAGGCTTGATTTGATCTAGGACCCACTTGATCCAGGGTACCTGCAAAGTTCTCCTCCAGCACCATATTTTCGTTTTTTCCCCTTGTCAGCATTCTAGATGCTATTAAAAAAATGACGGAATGTGGAAGAAGCAAGAAATGTACTTGAAAACAGACTGCTGGCCAAGGAAGGTGTAGATTGAAGATTCAGTGCAAAACAAGGTGTCCAGTAATCGTCCTTACAGTCTCTTCCCTCCCTGTAGGAGCAAAGTAAAACTAAAAGGGTTAAATCAAGAGGAAGGATCTCCATGAAGCAACGTCAACTTGAATTGAGGTGTGTGGGTGTGTGGAAGAGAGAGGCGAGCAAGGAAAATAGATGTGTGGAAGAGAGAGGCGAGCAAGGAAAATCCAAAATTCAAGGGATGGGTGCGGGGGGGGGCACACAAGTTTCCAAATTTTTCAAATTGGATGCCCACCGAAATGGGTTTATGGCACTGACAGTGCCTTAGCTTTTTCTGGATAGAAACAAAGTCTGCTCAGCGGATTTGATAGGGAGGCATGCGTGGCTATAAAGTCAATTCAATTCTTCAAACAAAGAAAAAGAAAAAAGGCTCCAGTTTATGAATGTGGGATATTGTACTTCTGTATCCATGATTCAAAATCACCTGATATTGCTCCGTAATATTATGCACGCATTGGCAATAGCAAAAAGGATGCTCAACATCTATAGACCAAAGGGCAACCTGAATGTTGACAATACTGCATTGCCAATAGCAAAAAGGATGCTCAACTTCTATAGAACAAAGGGGAACCTGAATGTTGACAATACCAACGGCAGCAGACAAGATGGTCTACATGTCACGGTACCCTCTTGTGCTCACTACAACTCACCAGTGTAAAACAGGGTGTCCAGTTATCCCCTTAACTGTCTCTTCCCTCCCTGTAGACCAAAGTCTATCCAAACCTGTTACAGGTCCCTCCATTGCTTCGGAGAGGTGCATTGGCTCCCTCTTCTGTGTTCTGTATCATTCACAAACTGACACCAAGCAAGGGAAAATCCCAGTATCTGGCTCCTCCCCCCCCCCATGTTAACCATTTCTCACCCAAACACCAGGTAATTTTCATGGCTGTTTTTCAACAAGTGAGAATGGTAGTGAACACAAGAGGGTGCCTTGTAGACCATCTTGACTGCTGCCATTGGCACTGTCAACATTCAGGCTGCCCTTTGCTAGGGAAAACTTGGCACCCTTCTTCCTGCTGGCAACACCAGCATGCTACTGTGCAGCAATATTGGGCCTTTCTTGGTATTTTCAATTATGGATACTGAAGCACAGTATCCCACATTCATGAACTGGGTGATTTTTGAAGAATTGGATCTTGCTGGTAAGCATGAAGTGCTGTTGCTTCACATGCATACCTGTTCCTGGCCCTTTGCGTGATCTCTAGCTTGCGGTTGCATGAGCTGGAGATCACTACCTGCATGACAATGAGGTTCTGCTAGTGCAACAGGGTGGTGAAACAGTGAGAAAAGAAGAACCACACATGGTACAAATTACTACGTGCACAGGGGGTGTTTAAAAAAGGGTTCTGGCTTTCGTATTACAACAGCAGTAAGTATCTGTTCACTTTTTGCATGATGAAAATCTGCCAGCCACCTTTCCTCCCAGGTTAGATGTTCACTTAAACATCATAATCACCCTGAATTCATTCTCAGGTTCTCCTCCAACTTGTTGTGTTTTTTTTTTTCACAACCCCAAGTACTGTCTTTAGCAAGTTTAGTTCGGAAGGACCTTTCTGGCCAGGGTAACTGTCAATCTATCCAGCACTAATTCATTGTACCCTTCTGCCTCAGATTCAGAGCCCTGCCTCTCTTTGCTGCTGTTTCCCTTCCAAGAGTTTGTTGAAAGCAGCCAGTTAGCCTCTTGAAGCCTGTTGCCAAAAACCGCCATGCTTTGCTCTCTCTTTGATCTCTTAAATTGTCAGTAAAGAAAATGGCTTTTTATTCTTTCTACTTCAAATGTTTCAGAGTGAGTTATTGAGACTGTAGGTGCCAGTTGATGAGAAAAAAAGGCATAGACTATTCTCAGGAACTTGAAGCTAATTCTACTATGTGAATCCCTGCATGTTTGCTGGGCAGCTAGAGGAACTTAACCAAAATCCAAAACTCTAAAACACAACAATGGCTTCTGTTGCTTAGATTGTAAGTTGTGCATTGACAACATTGTATTGAAGATGGTGAAAACTTTCACTGATCGTCCCACAATCACTGCAAACTTTCTCTCTTTTTGTAGGACTTCCAATATTCACTGTCGGTATTAAACTTTCATAGAGCAACATGCTCTCCTAGTGCAGTGTCAGCATCTGGGGCTATCGTGAGCAGAAATCCTTCCCTGTGTGCTGATCCGGCTGCGCTTTATGGATTGCCCCGAGAGCCACTTGTCAGGTCAATGAAATGTAACTCCTCGTATTGGGTGTTGCCAAGTTAGTTAAAGACAAAGCACAGTTCATACACAAAATATGTACGGCTTGTTTCGGCTGTTTGTTCAGTCTAATAGCGCTGAGCCTTAATAGAGTGTACCCAGCTTAGCAAATGTAATTATAGGCGTGCTGTACAGGCAGGTACATCATCCTGGGAAGCAAGTGCCAAGACAGACTCTGCGTGCTCAGCAAAGTGACTTTAAGATTAGAGGATGCTAAATGTCAGTGGAGATAAATCAAGAGGTTCCCGTCTCTGGCAAAAGACAAAACATCGGACAGAAGCGAGTAAAAGCCCATCCGGAGCCTGCTGCGGCTGCTGAACGACAATACTTTTCTCTCTTTTTCTGCAGGACGTTATCGTGTGACTGATAACCATTGGACTTTTTTTATCCAAAAGGAAACAACGAATATGAGGCAGCCCTCCTATAACTTTTAAGGCAAGAGGTGACAATGTCATGAGCCAGGATCTAAGCGTGCAGTAAGCCAGTTCCTCTGGAAACTTGAGAAAAGTTCGCTACAGGCATCCCATTAGCTCTTTCCCAGTCAAGTTGACTTCTCAATCAGTTATTTGCTGAGTGGTCCACCACACACAGCTCTGTCTACCATGTACTCATAGCAATCACTTAGAAAAATGCTTAAGGTGCTTAATGGCACAAGGGCATCTGAGAGTGGAAGCTGGACTTCTGACAGCAGTGAACCTTGTCCAGGTTTCAGTTTGAAGTGCAAAGTTGCTCTCCAAGGTGCTGAAATGATTTCAGGGGGAAAGTGTTCCCTACCTGAAAATTCAGACTAAAACACAAAGTGGATTCTCCACCCCACCGACATTGGAACCACCTGCCTCCATAGGTCTCAGATTCACCAGGGTCACATTGGCACACGCAGGATGACTCCCAGGAAAGCCCATAGGACTGAATGGGTGTTGCACAGCCATGCTTCACTGCAACTTCTGTTCTCTTCCTGTCAAAAGGATTTCGGCAAGGATGAGCTTCAAGTGGATTGGGGCCTTGGCTTAATTAATAAAACCCCTTAAACCCTGTTCTCCTTTTCTTCCAATCGCATCTCACTAAGCATTAACAGTCCTGTTGACCGGACCTCTCCATAGATCCATTATGTTCTGACATGTCTCCAATCCACACTTATGCATACACACACACGCTATAACCCACTTCCCCGTTCTTTTAAAACGCATGCATCCAAAAAGCAACCACTTACCACTTTTGCCTACTCCACCTGATCCGAGCATCACCACCTTATACTCTCTGGAGCCGCCTGAGGTCGTGCTGGAAGCATCGAGGGTTTCCCCTTCCAGCTCCATCTTCTTTGGAAGAGTGAATTTGAGAAGCGGCAGGTGCCTGCTTCCAAACCACTGTGAAAGCAATTGGAGAAAGGGAAGAGAGAGCTACAGAGGAGAGGTACGATTTAGTAGCTTCACTCACTTGCTGCGGTGCCTGCCTACGTTCGCTGCAGAAGGTCTCATAGCAACCAGTTTTAAGAGCTTCCAATAAAAATTCAGCTCGTCACCCTCCCCCTTTCCTCCCTTCCCTGTATCTCTTTCTGTTTCACCATCTTCTTCCAGGATGCACGATGCTGCTCACCACTCTCCCGAACCGAGCTCCTTCAGGGAGAGAGTCAGGGAAACTGCCCATGGATAATTAAGGGCCCTCGGCTTCTCTCTCTGCCACATTGGCAGAACAGAGGACAAGCTATAAATAGAGCACTATGGTTATTAATTGAGATACATGGTTGAGTGGAGATTCGAACCCAGGTCTCCCAAATCCTACACACTCTAACCACTATGCCACTCTCTTCAGGCAAAACCATGAACGGAGGTTTATATTGTGGTTAGAGTGCGCAGGACCAAAGAAGCCTGGGTTCAAATCTCTGCTCACTTATGGAATTCACTGGGTCACCCTGTCTCACCCTGAACCACCCCTCAGGGTAGTTGTGAGAAAATGGACAACTAGGTACACTATACTGAATTTGCTGGAAGAGAATCGGGATATAAATGTAGTAAACCAGTAGACAAATAAATATACTTTTGATATGGAAGTGCATGGATTTGCATTCACCACTTCCCATCTTCTGCAGGAGATTTTGGGTGGGGGATTAGACTGATCCTGGCCCTTGACAGGCCAGAATGTTGTTTAGTTGTTCAAGTCATGTCCAACTCTTTGTGACCCCATGGACCAGAGCACACCAGGCCCTCCTGTCCTCCACTGCCTCCTGGAGTTCAGTGAAATTCATGTTGGTCACTTCAATGACACTGTCCATCCATCTCATCCTTTGCCATGGCTAACTGTGGGTAATTAATGAGGTGCTGATGCACATTTTGGTTGCACAACAAGTGGTATGAACAGGGAAGTGACCCAGACATATCCAGGTGCCCAGTCAATTAGCCCAAATTAAATGCAACAAGTTATGCAAAACTTGTGCAAACACCAATAGGATTCTGGCCACTGTTTATGGATATCTGTAGGGATGTTTCTGTGTGATTCAAAAACCTTTGATATCAAGGTTCCTGACTGTATGAGAGCCGTTGATAGCTGTTCCACATAAAGATGTGATGTGAGAATGAAAGCTCCTACTCACTAAATAGGTGTGCTATGCACACTGCAACTCAGTGTTCAACTTATGTGTTAGATTTAACACTTTTAATGGCAGCTGAAAAGGAATTGCATAGCATTAATCCTATATGTGGATGCAGTTGTGAACATGAATGCTTCTTATGGCTTGGAGCTAGACTGTGCTCAGGGTGGGATTAGCTTGTGGAGCCACCTCCCTTCTCCATGTGATGATGTATACACTTTCTGTGACATCCCAAAGGACGAGTGACACAGTGCTATTTTTTAGGAACAACACTGGTTGAAAAATAGTAACTGCTTCACATTGGCCATGAGGAGGAAAAATTAGATCTAGGGTACAAAGAACTCTTGCTAACTTTCTCATTCTTGCTGAAATGAGCTTGTTGATAACATTAGAGGTCTCACTTCTGGCAAGATTAGACTCCCACCAACACCAACACCATTAAGGTTTCTGGATATATATATATATTTTTTTTGCAAAATATCTCTGTAAAAATCTTTCCTCTGTGAAGCTAAGGACACCAATGTCACAAGCAGCAATGGACTGCCTAATTGATCAAAAAGAAACAAACAATCCATCCAGTGCTTTAAAACGCCATGTAACCAGGCAGTAGCTATTGCCATTTAGCTTTACTGTGTGATGGCTGTTTGTGCAAATATATCCTTCAAAAGGGACAGATCTGCCTTGAGATCAACCCACAATCTCATCATGTCTTAGATGGAAGGAAAAAATGACATTTTGTGTCCTCCTGCATGATACTGAAAATAACATCCCAAAATGGAGTGTGTGCTTACCATTTTTTTTCGTGCAAGTGCACTCTCAATGTTATGTGTAATTTGGCCATCCGAGGAACCCTTTTTGATAGCGCAAGCAGACGCTCGGTGCAGCTAACACCATTGTATCAGAGATCGCTTTGTCTTTTACTTGATCTGCAACTTCCCCATCAATTAGCCAAAATAAATATTTCTGCCACTGCCTCACCAAGCTGGATGTTTCAAAATGTCAGTCCCAAGCATTATGCAAATCTTAAGTGATTTTTTTTTGCACCAATAAGTGATGGCCTTAAGGACATGGGGATCATCTTGAAATTCATGAATATGGATCAGAGCACGCCTAGCGAAGATTCTGTTAATTGGCACACACATTGTCCTCCTCTGTTTTGAGATTCAGAGAGCAATGTGAAAAGAAACGCTAGAACGAGTTTCATGGTAACCTTCATTTTAAGAAATCAGAGATCCACGGCTTTTATCTGAAGTTCATATAAGCTCCAGGATATTACTAGATGAGGAATCAGAACCCACTCTGTTGATGTATCAGTTCTTGAGAGATTCTAAAACCAGGGGTTGCCAGTCAACAGCAAGGGTTGGGAAACAAATTTGGCCCAGAAGGAAGGTCCATAAGAGCTGGAAATAAGAAAATCCCGAAGAGATCTACAGGGAGCAATGTTCCCTATAAAAATCTGGCAGAGGTGGTGGAATTTATAGCTCTATAGGAGAAATGGCCAAAGTATGAAGTGCAAATTCCTCCAGATCATTTTGTTTTTTTGGCTAAAACTATTTTCATTGTCTTTTGAAACTGGAGGCTACAAAAATGTTGTAGCAGGGCTGTTGTATTAAAAAGCACAAGAGATGAGAAAAACTACTGGTTAGGATCTCTCGGATATTCTGGGAATTGTAGTTCCCATTTCTGGAAAGGTACGCCTGGCCCTTTCCAAGTGCCCTCCTTCTCTCAAGGAAGCTTCCCCATGTAGAGCCCTGATAGTGAACCTTCCTGGATGGAATTAGTACTTCCCACCATTGACTCTGGATTTTGCACCTTGCCCACAAACATCTCAAGCTTCCTGAACTTCAGGGGAGGAGGAGGCAGAAGAAGGAAATGGGGTTGGACACCCTCATACCATCTTGAATGTACCAACCATGTCTGATTTCAGAAGCTAGGCAAGGTCAGGCTTAGTTAGATGGAAGACCACCAGAGAATATTGGAAATTTCTAGGTAGGTCTAAGGAACAGTCGTGTGTGAGATCCTAGAAAGTTGTTGCTGGTCAGAACTGGCAAGACTGGGCTAGGTGGACCAAGAGTTTATCGCAGTAGAAAGCCAGTTCCAAGATCCTCAGAAAGGCTGGGTGAGATTGGGGATGGGTGGCTCAAGAGGCTCCTCAATATTTCATGTTGGACCAGCATTTTTTCCAGGGTCTTCGACCCACTGTTTAGAATGAGCTTTCACCAGGGTCCAAGACAGGCCAAAGCTGCCTCCCCCTCTGCCAGCTGATTCCAGGGGTCACTGGTTTAGCAAGTGGCCAAGATATTTGGCCAGAAGGATTGGCCAAAATCACCATTTAGATGTATGTGAATCAGTGTTAAGTTGCAGCACCCAATTGCTGTGAATTCAGGCGGTGGTATGTGTGTTTCTGCTCACATTACTAGTCTTGCACTGGATAAATGACCAAGAAAGCAACTGGAATTGCACTAATTAGCACCAATGCATTGTGGTGACTCACACAATTTCAGACAATCAGTCACCAGTAGAATTCTGACTACTGTCTCAATCCTGACTAAGTCCAGTGGATTTTGTGTAGCAAGTAACTAATGCTAAGTCAATAAAGAGGGCTCTCAGGGCATTGCCTTTAGGCTCCTCTGGCTCGGACATCTGTTGTCAACTCCTTTGTTCTTTCTCTAAGGCAATTAACCTTCCTTTATTCTGTGATCACCCACAATAACTGAGTCTGTGGTTTACATGTGTCTCACTGTGTGTGTCTCTCACAGACATAAGTATATTTTAATGGTTATTTAATGGTCCATCTCCTGTGATGTCATAAAGATCCACCCACTGGTCTCAGGTTTGAATCCAGACATCTCAGGGCATGAGAAACTGTACGCTAGGCAATCTTGATCACAGTATTTAAAGGACAACATGAAGTCTACTAATCACAACTGTGGGCCTTGGAATTTCAGTGCCATAGCTGACCCTTCAGTCTTGTGTTTTTAACTTTTTCTTGTGCTATTTTTCTGTACCATTTATGTCCAGCTCCCTCAGATGAAAGATCAAGCTGATTAAAATACAGTATGATTGCTAACCTCTCAGAGGAAAATGATTACCCATTTATTTGCCATTTAGTAGTTGCTCATAACAACACACAAAATATTCTGATTGTTGCCTCTTCAGAGTTTAATGAACTATTTGGTTCCCCACAAGAGAAATGGGGTCACTAGTTTTCTGTGAGATTTAGAAGCACCTTTTCAATGAAGGTGACCAGAGAAAGCAAGATGGGTCAACACTTGTATAGTTCAATTGTGAACATGATGGTTGATCTACCTCATCTTGGGCAGAAAGGTTTCTGGGAAAAGAAATAAGCACCAGAAACAAGGTGCTGAACAGCTATATGGAAAGCAGTGAGCTATGAAAAAGACTATAATATACTAATTAAGATCTAGACACCATGGCACCATGAATCAATGGGTGCATTATGTGGATTTGCATATAAATGTGGGTTTCAGAGAAAACATTCCCATTTTGCTGATGTGGGCATGAACATTCTGATAAATGTTGTTTTAAATTGTTTT